TGATTATGAATAATCTTAAGGCTACATTCCTTTCTGTCCTCATCAATGGATCCCCACAGGGTTTTTTTAAGCCAACTAGGGGTGTTAAGCAGGGTGATCCCCTTTCCCCCTTTCTTTTTATTATTGCTTCAGAGGCTTTTTCGTGAGGATTGAATTGGTTGGTGAATAATAATAAAATCAAGCCTTTTTGGATGGGAAATAGGGGAAAAGCTATTTCTCATTTAGACTATGCTGATGATTTGTTAATTTTTATAAATGGAGAAGCAAGGTCCTTAGTAAGATTCAAATTTTTTTTAATACCTATCAGGAAGCTTCAGGGCAGGCCATCAATCTCTCAAAGAGCTCAATCATATGTGGGAAGTCTGCTATACCAATGCAATCTCAAATTAAAGACCTCCTGGGAATGAAAATTACAAGTCTGCCTATCAAATATGTTGGAGTTAACCTGCACAAAGGAATAAATAGGTTTGATTACTGCATCAACATTATTAATCAATTTGAGAATATGCTTTCTCCTTGGAAACAGAAAAATCTTTCTCAAGGGGGAGGCTTATTCTTATAAAACATGTGTTGATTTCAATTCCTTTACATCTTTTGGTTGTGGATACTTTGCCTAAAAAGGTTATTAAGGTGCTTAACTGTAAAATGGCTTCTTTTTTCTGGGGTTCCTCAAGAGATAGACAGAAGTTCCATTGGATAAAATGGTCTAAATTATGTTTTCCTACCATGGAAGGGGGGTTAGGAATTAGATCATTATCTGACATTGAAAAATCTTTTTCCCTCAAATTATGGTGGAAATGGACGACAGCAGATTCACTTTGGGTTCAGATTAGGAAGTCTAAATATGGAAGGAATGACAACATGATATCTAAAATTACAGACTCTGCAATTTGGAGACGCATTTGTTCTATTAATGATCAAGGTACTGAATTAAGTACTTTAGATCACACTGGCAGACTGACATGGAATGAGGAAAATGATGATCAGTTTACTCTCAAATCTGCTTATGAAGAAGTAAGGGAGTTATCTTTCAATACTTTAGTTTACCAACAAATTTGGGAAACTAAGATTGAACTGAAAATGAAGATTATGCAGTGGAAAATTACTAAGGGTATCCTGCCTATATCGGATAACCTTAGTAGATTCCAGTTGGTTTTAAATCCATCCATTTGTCCCTTATGCAGAAAACACAGTGATACTATGAAGCATTTGTTTTTTCAGTGTGCTCTAGTAAAAGAGGTATGGAGGTATTTTTTGAGTATCTTTGGAATCTTTCTACCCCCTGGAATAGATTACAGTCATTTACATTATTGGAGGCTTAGGAAGGGGAGCATCAGTATGGTTGATACATTCAAAGAAAACCTTCCTGGAATCATTTGCTGGATAATATGGAAACAATACACAAATTTCATTTGGGGTTCTGGAAGGGGAGCTACTACTGCTAATGGTATCATACTTCAAATCAAAATGTATACTCAGAATTGGGCTACAAGTCTGTCTACTCTCAAGATCCGAAGTATTGGAGAGGTTTTATTTCAAGAAAGCTTAATTCCAAAAGATTTTAGGCTTAGAGGGTTTAAACCTCAAATTATAAGATGGCATAAACCAATTAAAAAGCTGAAGCTTAACATTGATGCACGTTACTTAGCTAAAGATGCAGGAGGTGGAGCGATTTTGCGCGACCAGAACGGAATGTTGGTGGTGGCGATTTCTTTCCGTGTGCACGCGCAATCTCCTTTGGAAGCAGAGATTAAGGCCATCATCACAACTACCAGGTGGGCGGTCGAAGAGGGGTATGAGGATTTTCAGGTGGAATCCGACTCTTCGTTGGCCCTAGAGTATGTTACGGGCAAGAAGGAGAGTAAATGGAGGGCTGAAATTCAGGAAGTCATACAGATTGCTTTCAGGAAACACCTGAAGTTCGATCATTTGAAAAGGGAGGGTAATTGGGCCGCACATCATTTGGCCCAACTATCGACGGACAGGCTAATAATTTTTAATGGGCTTCATCAACTTCCAATTTTTGTTAAAAGAGCTTTTTGGATGGATTATTTTGGTATTCCTTCTTTAAGAATTTAGATATTCGGGTAAGGTTTGGCCCCACCGATATTGTTTTTATTTGGTTCTTTAATAATAATTGGTAAATGTTCCCCTAACATTTACCCCACTGATTTTGGTGGTTTGCCTTCCGGGGTATATATATATATATATATATATATATATATATATATATATATATATATATATATATAATAAATATATATTTTGAGTAGTGTCATTTGACACCGTAGGCCAACACTTGGCTCCATCCCTATTAAGAATGTTAAGATCTAACAAAGAATTACAATTTCTTCAAAGAATTCGTGTATGTACTGAGCGAACAAAGTTTGTATGGGCATGAAAAATGAGCAATCCCAAAAGTAAACAAACCACCCTAAATGCATATCACTTTTTTGAAATTCTTTTTGACAATGCATTCTTTTTATTTTTTTCATTGCTTTTGGGTTTTCAATATTGAACATTACTCCATTCCTACTTCATAATATATTGGTCATTGTCGCGATCTGCACTTCTAAACCGTGGTTTGAACCTTGGTAGGACCCCTTTTTTTCCATCCTTTCATCCTTCTGTTATTCTTTGAACAAAGTCTTCAATTTCAGATTTTTGTTTTAATTTGTCTTTTCTTGAAGCTTCATATTTGTCCTTTTAACATCATAAGTATCTAGAAATAGAAAAAATAAACGCATAGCACGACACTTAGAAAGAATAATGAAAAATAATACAAATATGTGCAAATCACAACTTTACTAACTAAATTTTTTAACAAACAGCCTAAAAATGTGTGCAATATAAGCAGGGGCGGAGCCAAGGGGGGTCAGGGTGGTCAGCCGACCCCGCTGAAAGTTCAAGAATGTAGAGCTCTGAAATACCTTCCATTTGATATATTATGGGTCCTGTAACTCATTACAAGTAAAAGTTATGACTTCTGAAAAAATCAGCATCATCTTAACTTGAAATAAGCAAAATTTGATGTGTGAACATTATGACACATTACCTATATATCAACACATTAACCGAAAAATTCTCATTAAACTACCATTTATCTCAGCTACATATGAAACATTTAACTCAAGTATTGTATAATAATTATCCATCATTTTGATATTGTATATAATTAAATTTTGACCCCGCTCACACATTTTTCTGGCTCCGCCCCTGAATATAAGCACATTGTAAGACTTACTCCCTCCGGTCCTTAATGAAGTTTACATTTTGACTTCACACATATTAAGGAAATAAATTTGACTTTACTGTAGAGTACACTGTTTGACACTGTTTGACACTGTTTGACACTATTTGCTGTAGATTTGTTTGCCAAATAAGGCAAATAAAGAAGTGTAAAGTTTAATATGGGACGACCCAAAATGAAAAGTGTAAAGTTAATTAAGGACCGAAGGGAGTATTAATAAATACCTCATATAAATTGTTAGAGCATGGCAAATACTAGTATATCCATAACTATCTGTTGTTATGGAGGGGCTGGGCGGGTAACCTAAACTTGAACAAGTTTAATCGCCGGCCCTAGACAAGTGTAGCCAGTCCAGCCGCACAGGGCCCGAAATTCTGGAGGGCCCAAGACTTTTTTTACTATTAGCAAGTCAAAAGGTTTGAAGAAAGAACGAACAGAAGGGCGGAAGCTAGCGATGGTGACAGGATACGGGAAGAGAAGTGATTCTCGATCTTGGAAGCGTGGAAGTCGAACGAGTGCTGACGACCGCCGCCAGGCTCCAGACAATGCAGCCCGCCACCGTGCCCTGCCTCAGTGCCTCCAGCGGCAAGTCTCCAGGACCACGACTGCACTGTCCGTTCATCCGCAGGAGGCTCTGTTCGGCCGCTTCTCTAGCCGCTAGGCCGCACAGTTGTACGCACTGCGTAGCTAACTCATTACTGATCTAAGCACATATTATATGAATGTTTAGGTATGGTTTTGTAGAATTTTGCTTTTATTGTGAAACTAATTTCGTTTGTTTCCTCTTTATGCTAAAATAAACTATTATTTAAAATGAAATGGGAATCGAACAAATATGGATCAACAATGGGATAATTGAAAAATGAAAATAGGAATAATATCTATTGATAATTCTTGTATGATTGAGAGCTAGATTACAAGAGTATAATTAAAGTGAAGTGGTAGCTTTGATAAAAAATGATCGTGCCTTTCCTTCTTTCCTACGAAGCTATTTATTTTCTAAATTGTTACTCCTTCCTCAAGATATGCGTGAATCCCCTACTTTCTCTCCACGTTCAACCGCCTATGCTTATCTTTAATTGACTTGGCTGATTACTCCATCTTGCACGTGCACTGCCTTTGAATTTAATCCTATCCGGATTGATTAAATGGGCTTCCCTTGGCTGTTACTGGGTCTCTTGCTACCTAAATAAAATATCTGCCCATATAATTATGAGGGTCCAACACTTGCCCCCAATTCACACTGGTGACGGGTCAAGCATGCAAGGCGTTAGTCATCAATTCAAAAGACCTTTCACATCCCTGCGTATTTCACTTTTCCATCAACTGTCAAACTCCTCGTTTAGCGGGAACTTCAGCCGTAGTCTTTAATACCTTCTTCCTCAGCCTACCCCCATTTTTCCGTATTCCTTCTCATACCCCATACTTCTTGCTGAGAAGCGGGTTTCTTCATCTGCTCGCCCTGTCGCTATCATGGATAGCGTTGTATTTGTGAACAAGAAAATTTTGGAGGCCAAGAACACTAGGGCATGCTAGTTGACGGAACAAGAAAGAGACGACATCAAAAACTCCTATGGCTTCTCTGATTCAGCCAAAATTCGATATCCCCATGACTCCGAGAGAGTCGATTGGTATTGTGCAGGCTGGGTTAGTTTCTTCCAATATCCCTTCAAGAAATTGGGACTGCGATTTCCGTTCTCCGACTTCGTTGTTGGATTCCTGACCGTTGCTAGAGTTTCTCCTGCTCAAATAATGCCCCAAACTTGGAGGCTTATATGCTCCCTGGAAGCCTTAATAGAGAAGCATGATTTGAAATTCTCTGCAGAAGATTTAGGCTACACTTACGACTTGCGTACCTCAGGAAAAGGCCGGTTCATTCTCAAAGTTAAGGCCGGCAGAGAACCGTTGATCCTCGGAATAAGCAATGCGAATGACAGAGGGTGGATGACCAAATTTTTCTTCGTAGAGAGATCTTCCCTTGGCGAGAACGGAGGAAGCTTGACCGACGACTGGGGAACTACTAGTGAGTCCCGAGCTTTCACCCCCCTTGCATACTTTGTTCGCATACTGTTTAATAAAGTTTCATCTTTCCCTTTGTTTTCTGTCTTTCATATATGTTCTTCGTGCCTAACAGGTGAGGATAAGAAAACCATTCCTCTCGAATTTGGCTCTCAAGCGGAGGAACACACCGTTCGTCTTCTGGATCTTGGGACTGAAGCACGTTTATACTCAGTACTAGTTACTGAAATCAAAGGTACGGATGAAGAAACTCATGTGATTACCCCTCTTTGTGTAGGCGTACGCCATTCTATCAGATGTTTGTCTATGTTGTCTAGCCTATCCAAAGATGGATCCTCTATTCAGTTGAAGGTTCCGATAAGGAGGATGATGTTGTCAGCATAGACGAGGAGACGGGCATGCAGCGAGCTCCAGAAGGTTGCCTTTCGGTTTCCTTGGTTAATCCCATCTCAGCCTTGCCATCTACTGCTGCGGGTAATCCATCCTCTCCCGTTATTATCTATATATTCTGTTCAGCTGCTTCTTCTTCAACTAGCACTCGTAAACCTTTGAATCCCCTCGACCCTGCTCGTTTATCATTGAAATGGAAGAAAATGACTCCCCCTCTCTCTCCCGTTGTTAAAGCAAGGCCTGCGGAAGCTTTCCCCCTACCTAAGCCTTCCGAACCTGTGATTATTAATATCCGAGCCATGCCCCCAGTTGAGTTGAATGCCGAATTCTTTGGCGGCTTTCATGGCTTGGACAAGGTCTTGCAAACAAGAAAGGAGATCTCCCCGCTACTGTTGCCTTCAACTGGGAATGCGTTTTCGGACGTCGCTCTTGCCGACATGCTTTCAGCTTCGTCTGAATTTTTATTTCAGGTTCGATTGTTTTTTAGTTAAAATACATTCCCCATCTCCTGTTTCGGATCCTTCACACGATTGCTTACCCGTATAGCTCTTTTTAGGGAATGCAAGTTTCCTTGGCAGCTGAAGAACGCATCCGAGATCTGGAGGGTTCATTGGTTGTTTCTAAACAAAGTGAGGAGGCTGCGGAAAAGAAGTTATCCGAGCTGAACCAGATGAAGTTGAAGTTGGACGAGAAAATTCTTGCTCAAGAGGAAGTTGTCAACCGGTTGAATGACGAAATAAAGGTCCTAAACGCGAAGCTGGAGGTCCAAGCTGCTAGGATCAAATCCCTGGAGGACTACGGGAGGAAGAAAAGGCAAGAAGTCATTGATACAACTGAGTTTTACGCCTGGCAAACCAAGAAGGATATCATGAAATCTTTCCTTGCTGGTGAATCTGACAAATGGGATCTGCAAGCTGATATTGACACTTGGGAAATGTATTTCGAAGGCTCCGACCCTCCTGTAGGTGATGATGGATTTGATTTGGGCACTTGCAATACCGAAGCTGATTCTGGTCCCTCCACCAAATATGATCTTGTCATTGTTTGCTTTTCTTACATGTGGACATCTTCCGTTTGCTAATCTGCTTTTCACTTAATATACATCACATTTTGGGCCACATCGACGGGTGGTTTATCCCGTATTCGGTGGTCTTGTTTCTCTCTTCATACACATCCTATTTTGAGCCACACCGACAGGTGGTTTATCCCGTGTTCGGTTGTCTTGTTTTCGTCATCGACTCATATCTCATTGTCGGAGTTTGACATTTATGTGCAATTGACTTGGATGACGTTGTTTGTGTATGCATGTTTGTTGTTTCGCATGTCGACTGTCGTTTGTTTCGCATGTCGACTGTCGTTTGTTTTGTATGTATATCTGTTGTTTTGGCCAAAACGTGTAAGGCGCATGGGTTTGTCTTTCATACTTCAAATATGAATGGCCAATACTAACCTTACTACCCCTTTTAATGTTATCAGAGGGTATGTGTAGGTGCCTTCTGTCGGCACGTTCAGAGTTTATAGCAATATTTGTCAATGTGTTTACTGCGTCGACACCCTGCATGAAGTCTTGTTGTCAGAGTCTGGCCGTTGGCTTTTGGTCAACGTCCCTCCAATGCCTAAGTTAGTAAATTAAATAAATAAAAAAGTAAATGATATTCACAGAACGTTTCGATCTCAGAAAGAATGCTGTCATCGTTGGATGTTAAGCAAATTTGGGAAAATACCTGGCTTTGAAAGTTATTGATGGTAGACTCCTTATTCAGAGGATACCTGTGATACTTTGTTCTTTATCCCTCAATCGACATCTATTTTTGGGCTAAGTCAGCCGTTGGCTTGAGGCCAACGGCCCTCTGACGATCAAGTCAGTAAAGAAGTAAAAGCAATTTTATGTAAACTTGAATTATAAATGAAAAGGTTTTAGGTGTACCGCATTCCAGCTCCTTGGGATTTGCTTACCATCGGCGGACTCCAGATGATATGCCCCCTGCCCGATGATGTCGACGATCTGGTAAGGGCCTTCCCAATTGGGACTGAACTTACCACTAGCTTCGTCGCCGAAGGACTTCCTGAGTACCCAGTCGCCTTTCTTGAATATTCTAGCCCGGACGTGTTTGTTGTAACTTTTTGCTACCCTTTGTTGATATGCTGCCATTTGTATTCTTGCCTTTTCCCTTAATTCGTCGATGGTGTCAAGATTGTGTACTAACTCCACATTGTTCCTTTCTTCTGTTATGAGCTCGTACCATGATGATGGGACTTCTAGTTCAGTTTGGATGACCGCCTCGCAGCCATATACCAGGGAGAAAGGCGTTTGACCCGTTGCGTTTTTTGGTGTCGTCCTATCTTCCCATAAAATTAGGGGTAACTCTTCGGCCCATTTTCCTTGTGCCTTTTCAAGCCTCTTCTTCAGATTTGCCACTATGGTCTTATTGCTTGATTCGGCCTGTCCGTTTGATTGTGGATGGGATAATTAGAGTTTGCACCCCACTTTATTGTCGAAATTAGACTTTGCACCCCGTTTTTGAAATCTTTAGTATTTGCACCCCAACCCCGTATGAAAAGACTAAAATGCCCCTCAGTTAACAATTTTGTTGGCCTTCAACATATTTCTGATCGAGGGGCATTCTTGTCTTTTCATACGGGGTTGGGGTGCAAATACTAAGGATTTCAAAAACGGGGTGCAAAGTCTAATTTCGACAATAAAGTGGGGTGCAAACTCAAATTATCCCATTGTGGATACCTTGGCGTCGACATCACCAGTTTGATGTTGTATGATTCACAGAATCGCCTTGTTCTTGAACTGATGAATTGTGACCCGTTATCACAGACGATCTCTGATGGGATGCCATATCGGCTCAGGATGTTCCTTTTGATGAAGGATATGACATGTACATCTTGGATTTTCTGGAAGGGTTCCGCTTCGATCCATTTTGAGAAATAGTCGATGTTGGTCCCGGTTATATTGGGTACCAGATTTAACAGAATAGCCTGTTCTATTGACAATACAGACTGGCAGCGGATGGGATTCAGGTAGGGGTTCTGTCATATCAGCCTCAGAGAAGCAAAGGCAGTAGGCCTTCAATTAACTCACAAGACACGTTCTGCTTAACACAGAGACCAAGTCTATGGAGTTAATCCGTTCTAACTAAGTGCACGAAATAAAAGCAGTAAGTAAATGACACCAGGGATTTTTATAGTGGTTCAAGGAACAACTCCTTCCTCTAATCCACTATTCCATTAAGCTTCTAAAAACGTTCGTTTACAATGCCTTAGTCCTAGCACTTAATAAGCTCTCCACGTCTTCTTCAAGCCCAGATGTCTCCTGGAATGCACTTCCTGGCTTCCTTTAAGACTGGTCCTTTCGCTGAGCTTCCCAGAAGTATCATCACTTCACTGCTCCAGTTACTTGGACGTCCTTCTCGTTAGAGAAGAGTTTCTTGATGAAACGGGGGTTCTTCCAACTTTCTTCGTCACAAAAGATGTTTTAATGAAGTGCTTGAAGTGTTGAAGAACGATTGGAACTTTGCTTGATGATTACAATTATTCCTTACAATTTCCCCCTTTTTGATGATGCAAAACCCTTTAACTATTTCTAGAGAAGTGCCTTCACCATAAAAGCATTAAAGTTTAAAACTTTCATTAAAATCTTGGTGGGCTACTTGGTATAGGAAAATAGTAAGAGTACGGTACATTCAAGATTGCAGATAATAAATCAAAATAAACAGAATTGAGAAGATAAACATACAAAGCAGAAAGTAAGAACAGATATGGAGTAATTGCCTTACAGATTGAAAGGCAGAGATGATCTTTTTTAGATTGAAAGATTACAGGGGTGTTCAATTATAGAATTTCCCTTTCAGCTGCAGCTCTAGCTTGATCATCTAGTCGTTGTAGTCTTTTTAATTCAGCATTAACTTCTTCTCTGATTTCTGTGAGATTCCCAGATCTCTGATAAGATGCCCATATAGGTGAAAGTTTGCAGTCAAGGTAATTAAGAACACCTTCATGGATGTCCTTCCCTGGAAGGATTCTGTTGAGAAACCAGTATTCTGCTTCTTCCAAGGAACCACCATGCTTGACTCGAACTCGTCCTTTTCTTTCTAAGTAGACATTCTTTTATTGTGTGGGGGTCATCTTCATTCTCATTTCCTCAAATTGAATTCTGTCAATTGTCGTTAAGAGTTGCTTTCTTTTTCTTAGATGTGTGTCTTCGAGGAGAGGAAGGTCTAGAGAATCCAGCTTCTTTCTTCTTCTGAATGGAAGCCTGGAAGTATGAGGTTGGATCAACGGAGGTTCTGGTAGGTTATTTCTGCTTCTTCTGCTGAGGATCCTCTTCCCCCTTTTTGGCATCATCGAGATCAGAGATCATCATTGCAATCCTTTGAAATTCTGATGCCTGAGTTGCAGCAATCTGCTCAAGATTCTATGGTGGAGTCTAAGTGACAGAAGTGAGGCCTTCAATCAGACCTTGTTGTTTCTGAACCGCATAGTAGATCTCTTTTGAACTGGCTTCAAGTAGAACCAATTTCTGGTATCTTTCTTTGTCAGCAGCAAAGAGAGTTCTGGCTTGATCTCTGTGAACTTTGCATAGTTCCTCAATGTCCATCAATTGCTCCTTAGTTTTAGTATCAGCCCATTGAAGCTCTTCAACATTCCCAGAGATAGTTTCAATAGCTTTGCCTTTAGCAATCAGGGTCTGGTGAAAGGTGAACAGAGTTTTATTATTCCTTCCATTTCTGTTGTGAGAGCATCTGTCTTGGCAGTGGATGAGGCCACGAATTTTTGGAGGGACTTTGTCAATGTAGCAAAGCGACCTGAGATAAATTGCATGCCAGAGTTGAGATTTCCATTGACGTGAGAGAGATGCTCGTAATGCTTATCATTGATCTGGATGAGCTTGTTCATCCCATTTAGCATTTTTTCACCAAAGTCTTCTGCTGCAGCCACAAACTCATTGAATGGTATCTATTGCTCTTCCCCTGCAAAGCCAGGCATCTCTAAGCCTCTTCCCTTAGGCAAGGGATGGTGTTCTTGTGCAGAGGAGAGAGACTGTACTTGCATTTCATGCTCTAGTTGAGTCAGAGGAGGGGTCTTCTGCTTTTTAGAGGTTGCTTTGTTGGGGTGGCTGATGATGAATCCATCCATGTCAGAGGAGTCCTCATAGGAGGAGTAGATGGGGATTCTGTTTCTGATCACTTTTTTCTTTCTGCGCAAAGAAGGATTGGGAGCAGTAGAATGCCTAGAAAAGCCATGGGGTGCAGAAACAAGAGAGACAGTTGTTGAATCAGAGGATTTGAGGTACCAGACAGGTTTTTGCTGAGTTGGGGGATGCTGCTGTGGAGGGGAGACCATTTTTGCATTCTGGCGCTCAGACTTTTGGTGTTTTGGAGTTGTGGTGAGAGAGGGTTCTGTGGTGTGAGGAGGCCTTCTGAGAGGAAGAGGATTTTTGATGGTGAGGAGAGGGAGGATGTGAAGGGGAGCGGTTTCTATTGGATTGGGTTGGTTTACAAGGTGTGGAATGTTTGGATTTCTCGGAGGGGATTTCCTGTTTTGATCGGGTTTTTTCCTTGGAGGGAGTTTTCTCCTTGGAAGGGGTTTTCTGGGGTGAGGGTGCGGAGGTATTCAGTTGTGGGGTGGTTCTCTGTTGTGGTGAAGGAGTTTTCTGTTTAATAGGGGATTGAGGCGGAGTGATGAGAGGTGTTGTGATTTTGGGTGAGGGATTCTTTGGAGGTGAGGGAGGAGTATTAATGTGTTGGAGAGAGCGAGGAGGTGTAGGAATGGTTACCTCAACAGTCTCTATTTGCGTTCTTCTCCATTCTACAATTAGATGTGCCAGAACAGCTTCAGAATCAGAAGGCCCTCCTCCTTGGCCCTTTTGTTGGTAGTGTGGATCCAGAGACTCCTTCAAAGTTTGTTCCATTGCCCAAGCATCAAAGGCTTCTCTTTCTTTCTCGGTGACAGGAGCAGTGGGTTCTACTATTGGAATGGTGGAGGTGATAGCCTTCCCTTTGAAATCCTTTTTCTTCTCTGCTAAGACAGAGAAAATGCAGTCTTTGTTGAGGCATTGCTCAACATCTTCTGTTCCAGCCCATTTGAGGACTTCAGCTTCCTCAGCAGCAAAAACTGGGGAACCCTGATAAACTGCTTGTCCAGAGCAGAGGAGGTGTCCATTTGAATTTCTGGAGTCTCAGGGGTTCTGTTGACTTCTTGGTGGTCAGGGGAGATAACCATCAAGGGTTGATCAGGAATGGAAGCAAAGGGGAGCTGTGAGATTTCCTCTG